GTCAGGATAATCCATCTCCTTGGGCTTTATTTTCTTGCGTGTGTGGCGGGCCTGGGTGTCCTTGCGAGCCGGGTTGTCTTTACGTAAGCGGAGCTTGGGCCTGTGCGGAGCGTTGTGCAGCTTTTACCTTTCCTGCTCTTCTGTTTCGCGTCTCGTGCGGGAGGTGCAGTTTCACCCGGTCGTGGTGCCTGTGCCTCTCGGGCTTTCTGCCGTACTGCCTCGTCAGCTGTGTTTAACTCGTATTTCGTGGCACTCTGTAAGCAGCTATATTCCCAACTCCATCTGAACTGAGCTTGGCTACGGCTGACTTGAGGATCAGAAGTCTATGTTTCCTGGTGACAGACTAAAGAAAATTCCCCACATGAAGCACACTCTTGCAGTGTGCTTTTATTTCTGTGTGTTAGGTCTGAAGGAAAGAAGGAAAGAGAAGGTGTATCAAAGGCTTTTGCACTAACTAGAGTGGTCTTTGTGCCAAATCCTTACATCTGTGGCTTACCTAGAAGGTTTCCCCCCCCCCCTTTTTTTTTAAAAAAAATATGGCCTATTTGTGTCACTGCAGAGCTCTCAAAGACTGGAGCATCCTTATGGATTGGGTAGTTTTCAGAAGTGCTGGTGACCAGCTGTATCAGTCCCAGTCTTTATGTTCCCCTCCTGTGGAGCTGTGTTTTTGCCTGGCTGGTGGAATGTTGCCTGTTTTATATGTAAGCAGGAAAACAAAGGGGAGTAAATGATAAAAGGTTTCATTCAGCCCAGAAGTCTTTAATGTGTGATAACTTCCTCTTGCAGGCATTTATATAGCTCTTTGGACATAAACTTCTCTAAAGTATAGACGTGTTAAAATATTTAGTATTTTTAAGTTCATGAGTCTCACATTCTGATGGAGTTTATGGAGGGACATTGGTATTCTATCCTTGTGTGTGTATGTCAGAGAAATGAATGTTTGCTCTTAATGCATGCTATCAGCTACTGTTTCTTGTTACGAATTTTTGGCTTTTAGCTCCTAGAACAGAACACTCTCCTAAGCTTCTTACTTAGATGGGATCGATTTATTGGTAATTACAACCAGTGGTTTACCTAGAAAGGTTTTGGTTTTAATTGACTAATTTTTCTCTTGATTTTTTTTTCCATTCTCTTTCTTTCTTTCTTTCTTTTCTTTTTTTTCTTTTTCTCTCTCTTTTTTTTTTTCTTCCTTCCATCAATTAAAGGGAACACTGAAGAGGCTGGAAGGCTACTGGGCAGCAAGAATGTCCGTGTCAATTGCTTGGATGAGGTATGACAAAACTGTGCAAGTACAGTGGTGAATTTAGCATGGAAAATACTAGGTCTGAAGGGCTTCTTGTTATTAAATTATGTTGCTATAGAGACTGTAGGAAATCAGAATTCTTCTGAAGAACTTTCCAGCCTGCAGCTGAGTAATAAGCCTTTGAAGAGTTCTTATTTTTTAAGAAAAAATAAGGATCAACATTACTGAATGTATTACGGAGTTTGTGTTGTCTCTAAAGGCCCTGCATGAACTTTCTGATGGGTACAGAAGAGGAACACTGCAGCAGGGTATGTGGGAAGGCTCCTTCCTTGCTTCCTGTTGCCTGCACTGAACTACAGGGCCTGAACTGTAGCAGAAGGGAAAAGGAATATGTGTCCCAGTTATTCATCTGTCCCACACTTGTAGCGTGTCACCCAAAGCCTCTGCAGCACAGTAAGCATAGAGAGCAGCTAGGTCAGAAATGGTAAACGCTTAATGGTAAACATTTTCTTATCTAAAAGCAGATGTCGAAGACTTATACCTTAAGTGTTACCTGCAGGTGGAAGTAATTTCTTGGATAAAGGGGATGTGAGATGTTGGATAGTGTGGGATGTCTGTTTCATTATGTTTTTCTTATTATAGTGTTTTCTAAAAGAATGAAACATTAATATGCTGTGCAAATACTGTAACAGCCCAGCACATTTGAGATCAGTAGGTAATTTATCAAGTTAAGTGTCCAGTTGCATGTGTCTGTGTGTCATTAAATACTTCATTTTAATATGTGTGTGTTTGTTTGTTTGTTTTCCCCAAATTTATCAATACTTGTGAACCCCAAGACATTCGGGCTAAAAGGGACCTCAAGAGGCCTCTAGAGGAACCTCCTGTTCTAAACAGGGTTGTCAATGAGGTCAGACCAGGGTGCTCGTATCTTCAAGCCTTTAGGTCCTGTAAATCTCCAAGGATGGTGACTGCACAACCTCTGGGTAACCTGTTCCACTGCCTTATTGCGCTCGTGGTGTAAAAGGTTTCGCTCATGTCCAGGCTGAACCTCTCTTTTGATTTATGCCCAGTGTCCTCTTGTCCTTCTGCCACAAGTAACTGTCTTGCCTCCATCTTCTTGATAACCTCTCCATAGGCACTGCCCATTTTCTTTCTGTCCCTTAAAGCTGCTCCCTCCCCAGGCTAAGCCTATCTTTCTCCTCCCCCACCCCCCAAAAAAAAAAAATCTTTCTTTGGGCAAGTGCCACAGCCCCCAGTGCAGGAGCTCCTGTGTGTCTGGGTTGTCCTCTGTTGAACTCACTGCAGCTTATTTCCTTCTAGTACTGGAAGGTGAGACTGGCTGTCTCGCAAGTGCTAATCGGGGGGATATAATCACCTCCCTCAATCTACTGGCATATGCCTGCCTGGGATAGCATTAGATTTTTTTTTTCTTTTTTTTTCCTCCTCCTCCTTGCCTTACTGTGTATCTGTTTTAAATACCTAATTTTATTTAAGAACAATTTTTTGCACATAAATCTCAGCAAACTTTGGACAAACTAATCAAACCCTTACTATAATCTTTAGGAATGCAACTTTCATTGCAAGTATGCTTTTGAGCGTGTTGTTATTTGAGCTTTAAAAGCATCTATTTTGTTTAAAAGCTGGACTAGGGTAGTGGGAATCCTGTGCAGTATTAGTGCATCAGGTAAGATTACTGCTGATAGGATATGCTTTATTAATAGAAACCGTAACTGAGTGACGTGTCAGGCTAAAGAATAACTATACTGGCCTAATGTTCACGTCTGAGTAAATATATCCAAAGCACATAAGGTTTAAACAATTTACACAAAGAACTTCTTACAGTCTCATTTTTTTTTTTTACCCCCAAGACTGGTGCTTGGGGATTACATGTGACAGGATAAGATTCAGATTTATTTAGGATTCCTAATCTACAGATCATCACATGACATCTTTTAAACTTTCTTTGTTATAATCTAATTTTCCTCGAATATGCTATTTTGTTATATGCACACAATATAGAGACCTCAATTAAACACTAGTTTCATCTGTTATCCAAGTTAGACACAACCAGAGCCTACGTTGAATACATCGGGTCTTATTTTCTTTCTTTGCCTTAGCTGTTTGTCCTGGAATTCACATAGTTATTTATATTGCTACTATGGCACATTTTTGTTAAGAAATGAGGAAACAGAATTCTGATAGTGAAATGCTTAGGTATTGATATCAGAGTTTGACTGATGTGAGAACTAGGATATATTTTTTTTCCTCCTTCATTCTCAAAGACTTTTTTCAATATGAGATGTTTTAAATGTAATTTTGCTTATTTTGTGGCCTGCCCCTTCTATTTGTGGTAATCATGAGTCACATTTTAATAATTGCACATGCTGGAGAATCTGCAGCATGCAAGAAGCAGGCTCTTCCATGCTGTGTCTCCAGATTGAACATACCTAAATACATGAAGAGATGTCCCATTAATGATTAGGTTGATTTTTGTCTAGCTGTGCAGGCTTACGCCCCCTTCCTGCTAGATTAAAAAGTGTTGAGAGTCAGCAGTAGTTGGGAAGGTTGTTAGTTTAGAAATGTACTGTGGAAGAAAGTGTTCTGGAACTTTCTTCCTCCTGAGAGTACAGCGCTTGTAAATATTGTTGTGACTTAAAGTTGGCAGTTTGTAGACTTTAACTCCATCCATATGCAGGACGTGACTAAGATCTTTGTTTATTACCAAAACGTGGTCTGGAGGAAGCACGTTGGGTTTCTACCATGGAAGTTTCCTCCGGTTGTGCTGCTAGTTAATGTTGCCCAGAGGCACTGTAGTACCACAGTCCTGTGTTTTCTTGACAATTCACTTCAGTGGATCAAGCAGAGAGGCTTGATCTGAAAAGGGTTCTTATTTGTTTATACTTAAAATATTTCAAGGTACTTTATAACCTTATTATGTACAGAACCATCATTTGGCGTTTTCAACTTCACAGTTTCCTTCTAGCTTGCTCATTCAGCTTTTCATTTCTATAATATAAAATAATCCTTTTGGAAACAACCTGCTTTTATGTGCTGATTACAGAACTGAATAATTTCTGGAAGTTACTGCAACAACCTGCTTATTAGTGTGTGAGGTCTGTGTAATTGTATTCATACTGATTGTCTCCAGTGGAGGATTTTGCACTCAGTCTACCTTATTGTTCCAGGATCAACTTTCTGTTAGCAGGAAATGCCCGCAGCCTTGACCTTTACTGAGGAGACAGAGTTCTGTCTTTTTGACATTATTTACCTAGTATTTCAAAATACACTAGCTGGAGAAAATTCAACAGCTGTTAAAAATCTCCTTCAGGTCTCAATTCAGGTCTCTGGTGGATGTAGAATTTAACTTTTCATCACTGCATATAAATAGAAATATTATGGAGAAATCTGATGTGATACATATGTGAATCATCAGCTCAGCAGTTAAGACTATAATTAAAATAGACATATCAGCATGCACTGAACAGCAGTTCAGATTATAATTAGTTCATACTTATGAATAGATAAATTTATTCATAGATATCCCTTCCAAATCTAACTGTTAAAGAGAGGTAGAGGTGATCTTATTCAGGAACTTTAAGGCTGAAATTTCTAAAGGCTTTTATGTGATGAAGAATGAAGTTCTGCGTTTCTAGACTAGCAGTGTTCAGTAGCATTTCTGTTATACGTCAGTTAGCGACATTTTTTATAATCAAGTTCCAAATAACATCTAGCTGAATTAGGCTTCATCTAATGAGGTGGTCTAATTTCAAATAATGCTCGCTTATTTAAGGAGAGGTGAATTTGAAGATGTTCCTCGCATAGTGACCCCTCTGTGATTCCTTGCGGCATCTGCTATTTTCTGCGTTATTGTATCCCTTTTGGTAACTTCCCAAGTACTGTCTCAAAGAAAAGCCACACTGCCAGTCTGTGCATCTATCTTATAATTCCTTGAATGAATGGAACTGGAGCAGTTGCCAGAATCTGAGGAAGAAAGCAAGGCACTTCTTCCATGTTATGTGGGCTTGGGTTCCTCATTGCAAAGTAATCTGCGAATGGCAGATGACTTAGCAGTGTCAGTGTCTGTAGCAGTTATTCAGCTAAGGGTTTTTGGTTTTTTTTTTTACTGCTCCTACTTACCAGTATCTCCTCCACCACGTCCCCCTTAGCCCCTAGCTAGTAGCTCCCCTGCCTGCCCGCGGGGTGAGGGCAGAGCTGGGCGCTGCTGAGGGAACCTCTGCAGTGCGACCCAGCCCGCGGGCCCTGCCGCCTGCCCAGCTGCACGTGGGCGACCAGCAAGAAGCATGGAGTGAGAGGGGGCTCTTCTCCAGGACTCTGGGAATCGTGTTCAGTTCCCTAGGTTTTCCTGGGTGATGCTGGTTTACCACCTTGCGATGTTGTGCACAATGCAATGGCTTTTAGGTAAATATACATATATGCACAGATTTATAATTACATACGCAATATTAACTTAAATATGTATACGCATACATATGTATTGTGTGTATTCTCACAGTCATTGCGCATGTTTAACTGCTGGTCACATAATCAGCTTTTCTACCAAACGTAGGCCCAGTTGCTGGCATACAGCAACATATAATCTGTGTATGTGTTTGGTTGGTTTGCCAACTTTTGGTTCCCTTTCCCTTACCCCCATTCCTCCAGTCAAAGACTCTCGAGAAACGTTGTTTAACACTGTGGAGGAAGGCAACAGGTTGTTTTTCCAGCCTGCTGCCTGTAAGAACTTGTTTTTATTCCTCCTGAGGAAGCGTCCCTGGGTATAATACTCCCCTGGTGCTGTAAGGAGACATGGTGTTTGGTGTTATTCTTTCCCCCATCCTGGGCCTGAATCCCTGCCCCCCCCCGAGTGCAAACCCTTGCTCTTTTCCCTCTTTGTGAGCTGAGTCAGCCCCCAAACCTGCCCAATTTGTTCTTCAGTTTGCTCCTGCGCCGGCAGTGTAAGGTCAGCTCATCCCTCACCTCGTGAAATGGCTCTGTTCAGTGGTTGCTGGTGTGTTCTCAGCATCAGCGACAGGCAGCTGGTGGGTGGTAGAGCCAGGCTGGCCTTGGGCAGAGCTCTGTGCCAGCAGGTCCTTGCTGATTGATTAGCAAAAAAAAAAAAAAAAAAAACCCAGCCAAGGGAGGTGCCTGGCAATCCCAGGGGCACCACAGCTGTTCCCAATGGGCCATCAGACTTGTAGGGAATGGCTGTGGCCTTGCAGAAGATGGGAAATGTTAATAGTGGTCAGTATAGCCCATGTAATGTTCCTTTGAAGAAAACAGGAAACTAGGAAAGATTCATTTTTATTGTAGGGAAGGTGATTTTTGGGCAAAAGAATGTTATATGGTTCCTGCTGGAAAACTAATTCTTTGTCCTAGGTTCCATACTGGAAGAATAAAGCAATTTGTTTCATCTATATGCTTAATAAACCCTCTGCCAACTTAATCTGTTAAGTATGTTCTTTTGGTGGATGACCCAAATGTCATGTGTCAGAACCCACACTGTGCCTGGACCTTTCTCTGTACTCAACCAGGGGAGAATGTGTGCAATGATTTGGCACTGAAACGTAATACAGGGTACAAAACGTCTTTGGCTTCTCCAGGCATGCTGGTAAACAGCCCCACTCTTTTCCCTCTGTTTCTTTGCTGTGAATATGAAGGGTTGATATTAGAACAGCTTTAAATCCAATTTTCTAACATCCGTCCACATGCTTTCTGCTTGATGGGTTTTATGATCAACATTATAGCTTCACACTTTCCAGATTTAATCAGACTTTCTTAGAAGCTTCCTGGAAAGAGGGAGGACAGAAGAGAATATCCTTCCCTTGTCATATAATCTTCCGTCAGATTTTTAAGGAAAACAGCAGGCATGCAGGGTATAATCACACCTAAGGTCACTGTGTCCTTAATGTTCATTCTCTGATCAAAACCTCACTGTGTTCTTAGTGTGTTACAGCAGTACTTCTCTGTGCTGCTAAAGAGAACCTATATTATTGCTCCAAACTGGGGTTGTCCTGGAAAGATTGGTTTCTAGGATATAATATGTTTACTTTCCTTTGTAGAACTGCAAATAAAACCTGGCAAAGCCAATTACAAATTTGTTTCATGTTTGCAAACTGCTTTGTTTAGGTTTTATCTTTCTTTAATGGCAGTACATACTGCATTATACCAAAATATTTCAGGCTACCTATATATACTGTGCCAAAAATTATTTTTTAATGTTTCCATTTAGGGTGGGGAATAATAGAACAGTAGTACTTCAATGAGGTTATCCTAATTTCAACTTCACTGTCTTCCCTCATCTTTAAAGGATTTTTTTGAAAATTATACTAATATGTTTTAGTTTCGTTCTATCATAGTTGGAAACAAAAGATATACCAAGGCTCAATCTGACAGTTATTTCAGGAGATCATATCACCATATATATCCTGCAGTGTAGTAATGATCTGAGAGAGTGTTTGCACATGGCCTTAACCTGCAAAACAAGGGAAGAAATTGCCGTTTTGATTTGAATGGGGAACGTTACTAGGCAATCGCTGTATCTTGGCTGTTGACACAAATCCTGGCTTGATGTTCAATGAAAATAAACAGCATGCTGGAAAAAGTGTATCGAGTTCTAAAAACGGAACGTTGTGCAAATTTCTAAAGGAGAAATGTGCTTCTCCCTGGCCTTTGAGAGAGAGAAAGGAGCTGTTAACAAGTCACCCTCGCTCTGAACAGTTCCTCGAGGGTTTGCCTAGGTCTGCGTTCACACATGGCGCCGTGTCCAGCGCACAGTGCCTCGGTGCTCCATGGAAAGGCCAGGGTCGAGGCTGGGTAGCTTTGAGGTCTAGATAGAGCAGTGCAGCCTCAGAAGAGCATTTGTACTGATGTAACGTCATCGGCACAACACCAGGAATCACAGCTGAAAATGAACAAGAGGGTTTTCAGAAACTGCAGATTCTTACAGTGGAGAAAAAAAAGCAAGAGCCCTCCATTCCTATTTTTCTTGTTTCATACAATATAATGTATTGGAAAAATAATAATTTAGGAACTTTAAAACAAAGTTCTTTATTAGAATCATTACTTCAACACGGATATCTTTTAGAAAAGAGCATTGATTGATTGAAGATAAATGTTTTTGATTTATTCAAAGCTGGTCTGCTTCAAATAAATAGCACAGTGTATTTAGAAAGCAGTGACTCAGTCTCCTATACATTAGAAGCCACATTTATTCATCAAGATTTTGTGAGCTTATTTGCTCCAAAACCTACATGTCATGTAAGATGTTGGCTGCTAAAATTGGGTGCTGTGTGTACAAATGAAAACTATCTGTGGTATGAAGATGGAGAAGTGTAACTAACGCTCGTCTCAACCCTTGTTCCTTGCTCTTTCTCTGCTCAGCATGGCATGACCCCTCTCATGCACGCGGCGTACAAAGGGAAGGGAGACATGTGCAAGTTGCTCTTGCGGCACGGAGCTGACGTGAACTGCAATGAACACGAGCATGGATACACTGCCCTCATGTTTGCTGGACTTTCGGGTAACGTTTCACTAAAATTAGGTTGCTGGGTTTTGTTATGTCGATGCGGACAGCTTGCTAAAAGTTAATAACCAAAAGGAAAGTATTGACGCTCCTGTATCATTCAGGCTTTGAATCATGTTAATACGACCAGGCCCTTAGAAGTGTCAGGACAGTAGAACAGGGTAGCTGCTGCTGAGGGTTAGGGTCTTTTTTCTCCAATAAGGTTTGGCTTTGGCTGTTTGAGGCACACAGTCCATCCATACTTTTCCTGACCTGATTAGTCACAGATCTGAAAATGCAGTCCCTGGTGATGCTTTCCTTGTGCAATGTACAGGTAAGTTCTGTTGAAAAAATATACTTTACTGTAGTGCCTTTTTAACGCTTTACATCAATAGCTCTTAGTAATATTTGTGGTTTACTGATTCAATCCTCTCTTACATTATTTCTGAAACTATATTGTAGCTTTTATAAAATTATTTAGCAAGTTTTAAAAACGTGTTTCCTTACATTAATTTTCCCTCTCTTATTCTGCTCCTTTTTTTTTTAATGAGACTTTTTATAGTTGTATATATCCTATGGAACTTGGGGCTTAGATGGGTAGTTGCAGCTGCCCTGGTGCTGTTATTTTTCTGTGCTAAAAGGAACAGTATTTCCTCAGTGAAGAAATGGCATTCCCTAAAAACACTATCCTTTCTGGAAAAAGAAAGAATTTGGGATATGTTAGTTTTGAGAATACTAGCTTGTTTTAAATATCTTTATTAGTCCACTTTTGTCTTTCCCAGAGAAAAGAGGTTCTGAGGAAGTTTGCTTAGGATTTCTTAACAGGTAGAATGTTAAATTCTGCTTTCTTTGATAACTATCATTAAAAAAGAAAGGCCTGTGTGTGCACATGAACTTTAACTGGCTCAGTTCAACCCCTTGCTTTTCTGCAATGACTTTTGGGCAATGTCAGCATTCTGTGGCTCTGAGTGGTATTTGAGCTGCCGCAATAGATGGGAACAAACTTCTACAAGTTGTTAAGCTGGAGCTTCACCGAAATTGCTGCAGTTTTACCATTTTCTACCAGCTGAGATTCTGACCTGCTATTTTGGGTGTGAATGCTTCTGCATATTGGCTTTAAGATGTGTTGTCTGTGAGTACAAGTGGGATGTGAACACTACTGAAGCTTTTGTTTTTAAATGGGAAACGATAATTTCCATCCACCACCCACTTCTTGGTTTATATTCACCTCCCTTTAGATAACATGTGCACAAAAACTGGTGAAGTAAGAATACTTTTGAATATAGAACTAGCACGATTGGTGACAAATGTCCTTATTAGCCTCTGAAGGGCACCAATTAAGTCATTTAATCTTCCCATCAAATTTTAGCTTCGTTTTATTTGGTACTTAGCCCAGTCTGAACGCCCAGTTCCCGCTGGGGAGAAAAGAACAATCTGTTCTCTTCTCTATGCTCCTGCTACATAATAGTACTGAATTTGTTTTTCTTCTTAGAATAGCAGATGTTGTAGCTGAACTGTCAACCTAGATTAGCACAATTTGCTTCTCTGCTGCTATCCAAGGGGACCAAGTTCTGCTATAGTTATATACATGCAGCTCCCATAAGGGGGAAGTTTCAATATTCTGTAATATACAGTTCGGTGTGTATTACAGAGGGCAGTTTGATCCTGAATGATTTTTTTTCCCTTTGGTTTGTTCCTCTTGAACCATCAAAGTTAAGGAGGCAGCATTGTGTCTTTTTTTTTAATTGTTGCTAAAGTAGGGACATTGAGAATGTTTCTTTTTGTCATTGTTCTATGTTTTTTTTTTTTAATAAGTTTTCTGCTTGTTTTTCAACAAAATAAAGTTTTATTGTGTTTTCTTTCTTGTCTCCCCACATCTTCATCTGAATTCAGGAAACAAAGAAATCACCTGGATGATGTTAGAGGCTGGAGCAGAAACTGATGTTGTCAACTCTGTGGGAAGGACAGCAGCTCAGATGGCGGCTTTTGTGGGTAAGGTGGAAGTCTCTTATCACTTCCTAAATTTCTAATGAATGTGAAATGTTGGATTCTGGTGCCTGCTTACTGGAAAGACATTATTTCATGACCAGTTCTGAAATGATACAGAAGTTGAGCTCTTTTCCATATCTCATCCAATAACACTGTCAAATTGTATTTTATTTCCATATTCTCTTCCTTAACCAGTAAGAGCAATCTGGTAGCCTCACTGGTGCCTGGAGTGCACTGGTAGACACAAAGTGCCTGTTCGGAGCTTCCTCCGTAGCAAGGAATGAACTAGGAAGGAATGAGCACAGCGCCCGGAGTCAGGAAGCGGCCTGGGAGCTTTGCCTCTGCCTGGCTGCGCATGAGCAGTGAGTCACCCCCTGCCCTTCCGCCCGCAGGGAGAGTTCTCCCAGCCCCGTGCGAGATACGTCAGTCCCTACTCAGCTAAATTTGACTAGAACAAGGTTTTTACAAGATGTATTGCTTGCTCAAATGTGCTGTGTGACCCTGGACAGCACAGATGTGTTGTTTGTTTTAAACCTTTTTTTTTACTTCCCTTACTACTTTGACAGATTCCTGGAATAACATTCCCAACAAAACCAAATATACTTTTTATTTTTCCAGCAAAGATGTGTTTCCAGAAAAAGAGGAATCTTTTTCATGAATCAACTCATACTGTTCAGATGGCCAACAAACATAAACAAGGACACCTTTTCTCTTTTCAATCCAGCCTTCTTGTATTGTTTAAATATGTCTAAGGAAGTCTGTTGTGCAGGCTTCTTGAGTGCTTATGAATGCTGGATTTAAGATCTGTTATCTGTGAGATAACAGATATGTCAAAACACGTTATAAGTTCTGGATCCAAAGTCTACCTTGCCATATATTTGCTTTCTTAAACAGTGAGATAGTGCCATTTCAATTCCATCATCTCACGCTGTTCTTTTAAAAAAGACAAATACAACATTTCTAACTTGAGATTCAAGCTGCAAACCCAGCTAGGAACTAAATACATTGAAAAGCACAGCCTTATTAATCAAATTTGTGGATTTGGGGGATGTTTCTGCATGCGATGCTGACTTTCATACTGCATGCGGAGTGGTATCTCAAGTAGGATATTGCAGAATTCTTGTTTAAATAAGATTATGTTACCAAGACAGAATCAATATCTTCAGGCATAAGTCTGTAAAAGTCTGAATATTGGAATCTATTCCTCCTCTTTTTTGTTATCTGTCCAATGACTAGGAATTCATCTGTGTGTGGGAAGTGAGGATACTTATTCCCTTGTCATTTGTCTTACACTGTGCTCTATTAGCTTAGAACAGTCTCTTCTGAAATGGTGGATTATTTTAAATGCTGGAATTTGGTTGGCTCTGTCTTCTCCTCCTGATTAATGGGGTCAGTGCCAAGATAAATCAATCAGTTTAAAGAATGTGGCCTTGAACTAGAGAAGCTAAATTTTACTTTCCCTTTAGCCAGATAATCCATCATTTTGTCAGATGTAGAAAACAAGAAGGGGGTGTAACTTCTCTCATCTTGTTACTTTGATCATTACTCTTTTTTGGGGGTAAATTTTGGGCACGTTCTGTTCTTATAATTTCTCCCACTTCAAATTAAATACACTGTCTGTTTCAGGTCTGAAATCCCAGTGAAAATGTCATTAATCTTTGAAGGGACAAAGTTGGGAGAACTTCTCTTGAGAAATTCTCAACACTAACATGATACTACTAGCGTAGTTGTGTATGAGAATCAAAATACTGATTTTCCATACAGCTTAATTCTGAATATATTAAAGAACTTTGAGTAAATACCTATTCTTTCGACTCTTATCAGGGGGAAAAAAAAAGGGTTGGTGATGGGGATGTGGTTCTCAAAATGAAATTTCATGAAGTCATTTCCTGCTGGATGTCAGGTTATAATTTTAGAACATATGGCAAGAGTTACAGCTAGAGGTGGAAAGCATCTTACACTTAGCAACTCTGTGGGCAACCATTATCCCTGTCGGATATTATGTTTCATTTTGGTTTCTAGCTATGGTTTTGTTCTTACCTTTTTTTTTTTTTTTTTGTCTTGTGTGCTTTTAGGTCAACATGACTGTGTCACGGTCATCAACAACTTCTTTCCACGTGAAAGGCTAGACTACTATACTAAACCACAAGGCCTGGATAAAGAACCAAAGCTGCCAGTAAAGTTAGCTGGGCCTCTACATAAAATAATCACTACTACTAACATGCACCCTGTTAAGGTAGAGTAATATCTAAATTGTATGTTTGCTAGCATGGGAGCAGTTTCTTTTTGCCAAAAGCATGCAGCTCCTCAGAAAGTCCTGTTGAGATCAAAGGCATTATTCATGTGCTTCTGGAAATGAGAAGGAATTACAGAATCTGGCCCATCATTTAAACATGATTCAAAATGAAGCTATTTTAGTTTTCATGCTTGTGCACATCCTTGTGACATGCTTAGCATGGTGCAATAAGCCAGAATCTTTAGCTAACACCTTTAAGCCATGAGATTTGTATTTTCGAATTTAAAGAAAGAAGGAAAGAAGGAAAGAAGGAAAGAAGGAAAGAAGGAAAGAAAAAGAAGCTATTTTTTGGCTGCTTTTTTTTTTGCCTCACTTGAAGTGGAAACAAAAATAATTTCCTGTCTCAACAAAATCTCATTGTTCTCTCAGTACTTGCCTCAGCATGCGTCTTTCTACCTTAATCACTCGTTCACCGTAGTAACATCTGCTGCTGTTTCTGAAGCTATGTGCAAGGGATCTTTGTTTTTGCTTCCCAGCATGTTTGCTGAAAATAATCTGCTTCTCAGGGTTTGCTCCCCTGGTGTAGCTCAGAGAAATGAATGCATCTAAATTCAAAAACAGGTTCCTTGGGTTTGCCACTCAAAGTCAGCATTTTGCAGCAGTGGCCGAGCAAGGTGTGTGTTGCACATACAAACATGGATGCATCTGCAGTGGCAGCTAATTTAGGGAGCAGAGTATACAAGTACCTCCCAAAATGGTCCATGCAGGGTTTGAGTAGTCTCCCCAAGAGACTCCAAATTTATGTGAGCTTAACCAGTTCTGTGAAGTTGCTTAAATTGTGCAAGTCCAGCTTATTTTAGGTGTTTGGAATAAAAGAGAGTTTGGGAAAAGGTATGGTAGTTTCTACAACTGTTTCTTGTAAAATGGTTAATTCAACAGGCAACTGTATTTTTTTTATTTTATTTTTTAGTATGAACCTACTGAATGTTTCTTGTATGGAAGCTGTGAATGGCAGAATACTAAATACAAAAGAAGGGGAAGACAGCATAAGGAGGAGATGGAGGAATATTAGAAACCCCACTGAAATTAGCTACAAAGGGCGATGGAAGCTTTATGCTACTGTGTGAGTTTGAAAATACTAATTCCTAATTGGCTTACATTTTCTTCAATCTTTCTTGTAGATTGTGTTGCTGGTAAAAGAGAACCCTCTGTTGGCAGAAGTAGAAGCACTGCAGAAATGTTACAGGGTACTGGATCTGATATGTGAGAAATGTATGAAGCAGAGAGATATGAATGAAGTGCTGGCTATGAAAATGCACTACATCAGTTGCATCTTCCAGAAATGTATTACGTTCTTAAAAGAGCGAGAAGACAAACTAGATGGCTTTATCAAAAGGTCTGTATTTCTGCTACAGGGGATTCTGAGGGTATGGACCAGCCTTACAGATACCAGATGACTGTAGTAATAGTAATGTGTCCACTCATACTAACTAAAACGGTACAAGTTTAACTGCATTGTCTTGAATAAAGACGGTACCAAGTAAATTTTGAAATAATCCCAATTATAATGAGTTCAGGGTGGGAGTGAGCCCTAGTTTCTCTGAAGTGGTGCTGACCATTCCTGAAGCACAAAGGAAATATTCCTAAAGTTTCAGCTCTTCTGAAACTGTTAGAGCTTGGAAATCATGTATACACAACAAAGCAGCAGAGAGCTCTGTGTGGTAAAGAAAATGGGGAAATGAGCAAAAAACGAGTTTCTAAATGTCCAGTGTGGATCATCTGGAAACATTTCTCTTGTCACCTTACTCTCCAGCAGGTCATAAAAGGTGAGTTTTTTTTTTTTCAAAACCATTTAAGCAACTGAGAACTGCAAATCCCACTGGTTTAAATGAGACTTGGGCTCTTAAATCATTCAGACAGATCTGCAGAACCTACTCAGAGTTGCAAAACAAGTTGCCTAATCTTAAATATTGAATTAAGTGGCCCAGCTTCCAGAAGGACCTCGTTCCAAGGCCCCCCTAGGCCTCTGTGGATTTCTTGGTGATATTGAAAGTAAATTATGAAGTCAAACAACTTTCACCTACTGAAATCGAAGAGCTCATCAGTGATCCAAATAAAAAAGTAGGATCCAAACAATTAAATATAGTGACATCAGGACTGTACTATGTTATGAAAAATAAGTAAACTAGAATTTGTATTTTAAAGTGCTGTTGTGCATTCTTTTCAATGTTTATTTTTACAGTGCCCTTTTTTTAAAACGTAAGCACTTTTACTTTCTACTTCAGTCTGATATTGCTGATAGTAGTCCAGCTATAAATGATTATTTTTCTCCAGGTGGCATGCAAATGATTTAATTTGCACTTTGAAGACTCTTTTGTGTTCAAAGTTGCAGAAATCATTTTGAATGATAATTCTTCTCTAAAAACTTAGCTCTACCTGCTGTGTACTTGTTTCTGAATATTTATCATATGATCTCTTATTTGACTTTGGTTTTAAAAAAAACAGCCTCTTGAAAGGGAGAGAGAAAGATGGTTTTCCTGTCTATCAAGAGAAGCTTATCCGGGAAAGCATTCGGAAGTTCCCTTACTGTGAGGCCACGTTGCTCCAGCAGCTCGTGAGAAGTATTGCTCCTGTTGAACTAGTAAGCTGCCCTTGTCAAGCAAATACTTGTTTTATTATATTTGTAGTAATACTTTTGTCCTTTATAAAACATTGAGCATCTACTATATTTTTTTCTGTGCCCAAAAAAATGAATTGTTGGATACCTTAGCCGTTGAAGAAAACTGGAGTAGTTTCTTTCCTTATCAGAGCTTTTTTTGGTCCTACTGCAGGAGGTCTAGTCAGCTTTTCTTTCAAATTCAGTTTCACAAATTTGTAGCTTCAGACATAGATGAAACTCGTTGTGCACTTTTTCTTCCCAAGGTGCACTAAAATCAAGGCATTTCCTAGGCTTAATACAGCTGTTGTTTTCAGAGTGCATGGAAAGTTGGTAATATTGGAATGTTCTGTGATGCTTCCTGTTCTAGTGGGAGAGGCAAGATAATGCAGTATACAACACAACATGTGTCTAAATTAGGAACTCAAAATTACAAGTAGAAAATCTAGCTTTATCTTTCCCAATGCTTTTTTGCTAGCACATTCCTGCTAGAATGCTTTAAATTACTTTATTCTTGGTAAGATTCATTACTATTTTTCTGCTTTAAAAAACAGAAAATTTCTTCCTAGTCTCTGGAGCTAGATGCTATATATACTAACGTTGGGGGAATTGAACAATTTCTGTGACGTATTTGCAGTGTGCTTAGTAAATTAAAAATAGCCTCTGTCTTAAATGGCTCCAGTGAACTAAAATGTCTTGAGGCTTAATGCCTACAACAGCAATCCCTACTGTTTGTCTAGGCCGGAAAAATAAACACTATGTGAAAACTTGAGTCATCCTACTGCATTAGGGCTTCCTATAGAGTAAACACTTTCCTTCCTGTTGTTTTTTTTTGGTTGTTTTTTTCCTGACAAGAGCTTACAGCCTTTTCTCCTTCTCTCTTCTAAGTAATATGTTTCGTTGCATGGGGTTTGACTGTCCAGGATACACAACCGGCAAGGAGGCAGTGCTGTCGTTTTTAATTGCATGGAAACTTTTGCCCTTCGGTGTGTTCAGTTGCTTGAGCTCAGTCAGAGCATCTCAGCTTAGTAGTAGTAGTAGTAACGATCCTGCATGTCTCACGGTGGTCTAACAGGTTAAGGATCTACTCAGGGCTGCAGCAAAATGACTTTTTTTTTCCTACTATGTTTACAATATTACACATAAGAATTATTTATTTATGCTTACCACTAAAATGCACTAAATATTACTGTTTGTACTGTATGGGAAGAATATCAGCAAATTATTTTGAGGATTTCAAGTTCTGACTGCTTGTCTGCAGTACCTGAGTATGCTGAGCCTACTAGTATGTCAGTGCCAAGGAAAATGTTTTTCTAGGTGCCAGCACTGAGACTAATGTGCAAAAACCTACTGTGTGTTATTTACAAGCTGATGACAGTGTTAAAAGAAGCCCTGAAGAAAGTATAGGTCATGAACTCACCCAAAAGGTGCATCGAAGGGGCACTTAAACCACGATACAGCAACATAAGCTGCGGGATATTCTGTGTGCAGTGCTACTAAACAACAGATGTGGTACCTCCTGAGATGTACATGGAAGATGATTCTGGAGTTATTTCACGTGGAAAGGAGGAGGGCAATGAGCAGTATTAATTTAGTATTGTATTAGTGAACTTCAGTAGGTACAAAATTTATTTTTAAAGTGTCTGAACTTCCTCTCATTGTTCTGATGTGACTAACTTTAAATGCGTAACTTGGGTCACTAAGCCAGAAGTTCAGCCCTCCTGTAGAGCTGGTCGATCTTCAGAGGTGATGGGCCAGAGCACTAAAAGCAGAGCCTGTCTCCACTGAGGTATAAAGGAATCCAGGCTCCAAAGGCAGCAGCATTAGCAGGGAACATTGACACTTTAAAGCATCTTGCCTGTCTTCAAAAGAATCTCTGAGGGAAGATAGCAGTTGCTTGAATATATGGGAATTAGACAGATATTTTCTATTATACGCATTTGCTATGTTAAAATTTCAGTCTGTATCCTGCGTGAAACTAATTGTTATTTAGAACTGCTTGTAATTAATATAGTTTGTATGCAGCCACTTAGGGAGGGTCATCTCTATTAGCCAGACGTTTGCCCCAAATCCTTTTGGAAACAAACAATATCCATTCCGTTGCATAAGGGTTATATTTGGTTCTTTATAATGTACTTCTTGAATAACCGCTGATTTGGTACTTACTCCCAAGAGTCCTATCCTCTTTACTGTCCCTGCCCTGCGCTGTGTTGGGCAGCAGCAGCACTGGGGTGCGGGCAGTGCGAGGGCTGCAGCAGCTCCTCTGGGCACCAGTGTCCCTTCAAGTGCTGGGAGCTACTCGCCTTCAAACTTGACCCCGTTTTACAGGGTTAGCTTTCTAATTAAATGTTAAGTTCTGAATCTTAGTTGAATTTCTGTCATTTATATTCTTGCTGCTGCAGCTTCCTCAGTGAGACTACAAATGGTCACTGTGAAGCTGTTCTTCTGCCCTCTCTACTGATGATAGGGATTTTTTTTTTTTTTAAGTCCAAAACTTACTGTATTGTTGTGGGATGTCCTCTGTTCTACAGAATTCATTTGTTCTCGTTGACCACTTCTTATCTTTTCTTTCAGGGTTCTGACCCTACTGCTTTCTCTGTTCTTACACAAGCAATTACTGGCCAAGTGGGTTTTGTGGATGCTGAATTCTGTACAACCTGTGGGGAAAAAGGAGCAGACAAGAGATGTTCAGTGTGTAAAATGGTAAGAGTCCATAAATTGTTGCAATAGAATTGCAAAAAATAGTGCCCCTGGATTGCTGAGGATTTTGTGTGTGGCTCTTTACAGAGTAGGATATAGGGTAAAGGAGTGATGTGTATGTCTGTATCGGCATATGTGCCTCCTGAGAGCGGTACCTCCCAACTCCAAAAGCAAGAATATTTGGGTTTTCAGGATTGTATGTTTAAAGCTGGAGGAAGAATAACATTTTTGTATGTTGACAGTTGCAAAATAAACTATTAGAGTTATGTATGGCTTGGAATCATTCCATATGACACTACGCATTGCTTAAAAATACTATGAAGTAGTATATATAGAGGAATTTAACTGAGTACTCTAAAAATATTACCATGTATAATTTAATATATAAACTGCTGTAACTTTCAGGTGATGTACTGCGACCAAGACTGCCAGAAAATACACTGGTTTACCCACAAAAAAGTCTGTAAGACACTGAAGGAAATTCATGAGAAACAAGAACTAGAAGCTGCCAAAGAAAAAAGGAAGCAAGAGAAAAAGCAAAAGAAAGGTTAGGACCTACAGTTTGCTTGCTGAAACTAATGCTGCACTAACTGTATGACACGAGCAATGGAAACCAGTCTTGAAATCTCTTAACAAGTGATGCTAAGGGCTTTGTTGTAAGATAGCGACATACCTGCATGTGCTGGAATTGTAGTCTCTCAATTTGCAGACAATGTGTCCTTCCTCCAAACTTGTTTTTAATGCTAGTTATTCAGTTGTCTACAACAGAGCTATAAGAATTACACTGCAACTGTTCAAAATCCAGATCTGAACATAACATGGAAGTTTCATGCTCCTCTACTTTGTGTTCAAAGAGGTAGGACAATTTGAGAATAAGAAAGCAGCCCACTGCTTCCAGTGAGAAAGGTTAAACTTTAGTTCTCCTATATGTGCCATAGGTATACTGTGTGTGTGTGTGTGTGTGTGTATATACATATATATATATATATGCTGTATAAAATGAACTTTCGTGTGTATTGTGAGTGCAAAGAAGGAACTGCTCTTTTCTGTGTTGCTGATGTTTTCCTCCCTTTGATAAGCAAATAATGCATTGTGGCAGAAGAAACACCATATGCCCTTCTCTTAGCCTTCTCTGATACAATGTTCCTGTGATGATACGAACATTTGAGGGGAAAAGCCTTTTTTGCTTAGGATTCTTCTTCCTTTGTTTTAAGGATTGCAAAAGTGTAAAAGGGTAATGAGCACTGTTATGAAGTTAATACTACACCATCTAAGCGTTAATCTGCATTAACTTTTTTCAGGCACGTAGTGCACGCGTGTTAGGCGTTACCAGATTATGTATTGCTGGCAGGACAGTGAAGTCCTCCTAGTTTCAGGTCACCTTGTCGTAGAATCAGAGAGTCACAGAATCATTACGGTTGGAAAAGACCTTTAAGATCATCAAGTCCAACTGCAAACCTTTCAACACCTGCCTGCTAAACCATGGCCCTAAGTGCCCCTCTACATGTTTTCTTGAACACCGCCCAGGACGGTGGCTCCACCACTTCCTTGGGCAGCCTGTTCCAAGGCTTCACCACTCTCTCCGTGTAGAAATTCTTCCTAATGTCTGACATGGACCTCCCCTGGCACAACTTGAGGCCACTTCTTCTTGTCCTATTGGCAGTTATTCTGGAGAAAAGACCGACCCCCACCTCACTACAACCTCCTTTCAGGTAGTTGTGGAGAGCGATAAGGTCTCCCCTGAGCATCCTGTTCTCCAGACTAGATAAACCAGCTCCCTCGGCCGCTCCTCACAAGGTCTGAGCTCCAGCCCCTTCACCAGCTTCGCTGCCCTTCTCTGGGCTCGCTCCAGCACCTCCGTGTCCTTCTGTAGTGAGGGGCCCAAACCTGAACCCAGTGTTGGAGGTGGGGCCTCCCCAGTGCTGGGTAGTTTTGCTTTACAAGCTCATACCCTCTACAAAAACCCAGGTCTTAAGAGTATCCACTGCACAAGCAGGAGTGGGAAGGAAGTTTATGGCAAAGCCTGTGCACAGGCTGTGGTAGCTCCTCATTCCGGGGGGCCTTTGGCTTTGGCAGTTCTCTGGCTCCTTACTGGCGGCCAGGCTTTCAGCTGTGCACTGGCTATCACAGGAGTAAGAAACCAAAATGAACTCTTGTCCAGAACTCTAGTGGCTGAGGTGTTTTTGGTGAAGCATGGTTAAGTTAATTACTCTTGAAGTTGATAGTTTCCTAGTTTTTATTTTTCCCTAAAAATAAAAATGTTTTTCTTGCACATGAATTCAGTGTTTACTGATGGTAGGATTTTACTTTCGTTTAGATGAAATGCAACTAGCAGAGGTTAGTTCCACGGGTGAAGAACAGCCAGATCCTGGCCCAGATGTTACCAAAGAAGCGGATCCAAATCATGCTGATGACAGAAGGGAAGAAACGGAGCTTACCAAAGAGTCAGAGGCACAAGCCCCACGTCCTGACAGTCCATTGGAAAGTGAGACTGGCTTAGCTGACATTGCCCTTCAGAAAATGCAAGATTCCGAGGAGTAGAGCAGGATAGGAAGAGACCGGCTGCTCTGGCTAAGTCCTTGTACCTCAAGCATCATACAAAATATTTAATGCTGCCCACATCTGTCTTCCCACAGCATGGCGTATGCAAGGCTCCCAGTGAAAGACAGCATGTGTCTGTTTATCCTGAGGTGAAATACTAGCTAAACTGTCTACAGATTCTTCAAGTTCTGTTGTAGACTGTCAAAGTAGCTATTTATTATTTGATAAAAACTAGAGTGGTATAGAATCATCTGCATTTACTCCAACACTAAGCATAGTAATCTCTGAGGTCTGTGGTCAATCATCCACTTCGTAAAAATGAAACATTTAATTAATTTAGGTTAATCTTGTTTTCAAAAACTAAAATCTATTTTCATAGTAATTTAAAGGGTTTTCTTCTGCAAGTGCACAGAAATGCAGTTGAAAGTCTTGGGAAGCCACCTGTAAAGCTGCTTTTGCACCAACCTGTGAAGCTTCATTTGAAAGAATTCAGTAGTGATTAAGTTTTTGAAGGTACTCATCTGAATTCTCAAAACCTTTCGTGACTGCTGTAAATAGTTTTGACTGGTCCATGCATAGCAATAGTGTCTATTTTGTGGCAATTTTATTAATGATCCTACTGTTTCAGATCTCTCATGTTGACTGTGAAATACATCTTTCAAGGGAATGTCTTGCTCAAAAATATTCCAAGTTTGTCAAAGGCCAATGAACAGAAGACCTGAAGGATTTTTAAATATTTTGACAGACTGAAGAATGATGGCTTCTAAATCTCAGCTTTCAGGTAAAGATGTCTTAGAGAATACAGTGATGTTGTACAAGAATTATGTGGTGAGCACATATAGATGTATAATATTGTATGAAAGGACTGAACCTGGTTCCAGTGAATTGAGTGGCAGAATTCATGCGTTTGATTTTATTCAGGCTTTCAACTAAATACTGCATCTTGAAAACAGCATTCCTTAATTATGTTTTCACTCAGATTTATTATTGCCTCTCACAAAATCAATGGGAATATCACAAGCTGAAGTACAAGAATGTATTTTATTCTGAATATGGATGGCAGAATTTGAGGTTATTTAATTCAGAGGTAATAACTGCTGTTTAGAACATGGAAATATCTTTTAACATAGAGGAATCTGAACTACCCCCATACAGAGGAAAAAATGCTATGTTTTTTTTTACTATTTAATATCTTGAAAGTTTTTAATATTCTGAAAATTGTAAGAGAGGATACTAAAATGCTCCTGGGCAGGAAATCTACTTTTTGTATAATTCATAAACACATTTTCATTTTCAAAGATTTGAAGAATAAAATGTGAAGAATAAAGGGAAGGTTTTCAAAATAAGGAAGCCGCGTGGCAGTTCCGTTTGTTCCATCTGTCACGTCTCCCGGGCCGTCCTCGTGGGTCCTGCCTTGTGACCCGTGTGCGAGCGCAGCTGCCTGGCAGGCAGGGGCTGGAGCTGCCCGGGAGCAGGAGATGGGGGCCTGCGCCTTAAGGAGGGAGTCAGCATAAATTCCTCCCCTTCTCTTGGCTTCTCTTAGAAGGTCGTGGTTGGTAAGTTGGGATAAACTTGGGATAATGACTGGAGGGAGGGTGTCGTGCTACAGGTTACTTGCAGGGGAAGCTTCACATGTGGCTTATTGCTTCCCCCATCAAGTATTTCTAAGTGACAGCGAAGCAGGCAGTTGTGCAGTGCCTGGCCAGGCCTGCTGTCCTGCAGCTCCAAGGCAAGGGGGTCATTCCCAAGGCTTTCTTAATTCCTCTGTCCCCCAGCTTTACTTTCTAGGAAACCTGCAGGTCGGACTTCTACCTGCCCAGCTGTCTGGCTACATACAAGAACAGAGCAGCTGTGAATCTCCAGCCTGCTTCACTGCAGCTCTTGCTCCTTCATTCACTTTCAGACTGTGGGGTTTTGTTTGTTTGTTGGTTTTATTTTGGTTTTTAATATTGATTACTATTTCTTCTACTGTTTTCTTGACTTCAGGAAATTTGAGCCAATTAAGGACATACAGAAGCTTCTAAATCACTTGAATGTAATGTCTAATGAACTGAACACTGCATGTTCAAATCATTTTAGATTTCTGACACAGTTGGATTTTCAACGTTTTTGTTCATCTGACCAAAGGAAATTAATCCTTGGTAGAAGTTTTAATGACCATTGTAGCTTTAGTACTTTTTGGTATATAAATAGCAAATAGTAGTATTCACACAGAATTACCCAGGATGGTGAAGGCTGGAAGGGACCTCGGGAGATCCTCTAGTCCAGCCCCGCTGCACAAACGGCACCTAGCGCACGTGGCACAGGATGGTCACGGCAGGATGTGAGTAGCTCCAGAGAAGGAGACGCCACAACTGCTCTGGGCAACCTGCGCCACTGCTCGCTTGGTGACTCCTGTAAATGTCATTATTTTTTCCAAAATCTATATTCTTCAAGAAAAAAAGAGTGTAATTAGTTGTTAAATAACAGCTGTTATTGATGATGAGATGTTGCATTTTAGTGTTCTCTAGGCAGAAATTTTTGAAACAATTCTTCACTTCTTTTTTAATGCACAGAACATGGGGGCAGAAAAATGTTCCAGGCCAAAAACTTTCTGCTTCTAATTTGATCTAAAATTTTGAAATCAATAGACTTTACTCAGAAATGGCATTACTTTTTGCCTCCGCCTAAACTCTGTCTGCTTTTAGATACCACTCTTGACTAGAGCCTCTGCCGTGTCCGCGACCACGTGAGAAACCTGCGCACGTGCAGAACGGGGCGCTGTGAGGCGGCTGCTGTGGAACTGCTGCTCCACAGCCTCCCACCACGAGCACGGGCAGCTGGCGGAGCTGAAAAGCTTCAGACAAAGCAGGGGGTGCCGGGGTTTACTGGGCTCTGATGGTCAGAGAGAAACTTCATAAAAAGTGTTGGGTGAAGCTTAGTTTGGTCCAGCTTCCTGTAGACTGAATCAGTTGGAGAAATGAAAGATTCTTGAAACCTAATCAAAAGCAAAGTGTTGATTTGATCTATAAAACCACAGAGATATGAATGATTTAAGGAGATTTATAAAATGCATGGAAGTCTGAGCAAAAAAAGCAGGGAAGTGGAAATCAGAAAGGAGGACTGGAGCATCCAAAAGGTGAAGCGTGAGTAGTAAGGAGGACGCAGCGCTGTGGGCGGGAGGCGGCAGCACGGCCGGCTGTGCTGGCAGGGCCCTGGGGACAGCGAGCGGCATCCGCTTCGGTCAGCCCCATCCGAGGGAGAGCCGGAACAGCAGGGGCGTTCGGGGAGACAGGGACACCGGGATGATCGGAGCTTGGGGGGATGGGTTTGTTCAGCCTCGAGACGAGGAGGCTGCGGGACACCCACCCGGGGTCTGTCTATATCACTGTTTATCCTTCATTTCTTGTAAATTAACCTGCAGTTCTGCTTTACTAATTTGTGATAAGAATATTGGAAGAATTATGTTTCAAGCAACTTTATTAAAATAGTTGCCACTACTTATCTTCTGTTTTCTTAATTTCTTGACTCTGTGTATTGCCTATCAGAAGATGGAAGGAATGCTACACCTTTTTTTTTTTTTTTTTTTCTCCTGGACGTTCATTTAATTATGTGTGCGCTAAAGCTGGCATCTATTACATAGATATTAACTAATATAACAGGTTCCTGGCCATTTCAGAGGGAGGAATTTTTTTTTTCTTGAGGAAGAAAAACCCTTATCTAAATTTGACTGTGAGTATCTCATAGGGCTCTTCTGCTTTGTTTTCAAGCCGTCTTTCTTGGCAGGTAGATACTTTATTCCAGTCAACAGAGGAAAATTCCATTATAGATCTTGTCATTGCCCTTAGAAACACAGCATCCGCGGGGTTCTCAAATGGGACTCTGCAAAAATAAACAAGGCGAATGTAAATTAACCGAGTATGTCCAGGCTGCTGTGCAGCTGATTTACTACAAGTATTCAGTGTAGAAAGTGGAGCTAGAGGTCATGAACATTTTTTTTTTTTAAGTTTTCCTTTGTTTCACTTTTACCTAGCTTAAGGAAGAACAAAATCAGAAAAACTCAAAATTGCTATACTCTAAGGAAAAACAATCCTTAACCATGTCATACACCATTTAAAATGTACTGTGTTTAAAAACGTTGTTTTGTACAATAGATGGCACATTAGCAAACCTTTCATTGCTTATTTTCACAAAATTATTAATGTAGTGAAATGATTACGTGCTTCTGTAAATGTGTCGCAATGAGACGTGTCATGGTTATCATAGGAACGTTCGCCATGTCCTGGGCTGGGAAGGTAACTATCCCGCTTGTCCCC